ACAACTTAATTATGTGGTTATTTTGGGCACTTAATTTCACTCAAGGTTTGTCGGGCTCTGCTCTCCACCCTGCTGTCGCGATAGCTGTGAAGAGCTCCCTCACTTCAAGGTTCTAGTGTTTTTGCACAACAGCTTGTACAAGTGAGAAAGACTCTGAGGTGTGTGTGTGTGTATGTATGTGTGTGTGTAAATGTGAGGATGTGCAGGACACACATGCCAAGAGGCCCCCGTCCTGCTGGCCTGTGTCCCTGCCTGCCTGGGCCCTCTCCGGAGTGAGGCTGGGTGCAAACCTCGCTGTTCAGATGGGCTGCAAGTTCTCGCCTCAGAACTATGGAATAGAGGTTTTAGCACCTTTTTTTTAAACAAAATAACTTTAGACTTTTAATTTATATAGTGATATGCTGACAGGCTGTCTCGCAGATGACTTTCTCGTCTTCTCTGCGTGCAGTGTGGAGGTCGCTGGTTACAAGAGGCACTGGTTTGTACATAAAGACACCTGGGTTGTTTTGTATCTTTTTTCCTGTTGGCTGTATTAACGCTTGCTGAGGTCATCTGTGATCAGGGAGGTAACAAGCGGCAACCCCTGACCCCCAAACCATCCCCTCCACCGCTTTCTGTGTCTTTCTTATTCAGTTACCAAAACAGCTGTAAGCCCATCTAAAACTAGGTGCGTGGACATTGTGCTAGGGTAGTTTCAGTGTGTCAACTTTATGAATTGAAATATAAACCAGTAAAATTGTATTACTATTTCTTTTGTTGGTTTTATTTTAACGGCATATTCATTAAATATTTTGGTACAAACAGCATTGCTTTGTAACAACCAGTTTTATCATGATGTGCTCTTGCCTCCCTCCCACGGGCAGTCAGAGAAGACCACCCTCTGGGCTGACAAATAGGTGTACTTGAGCATTGGGCAGCGCCTCCCCGTTCATCCATTCAGACACTTAATGAGCAGCTGATGTGCTCCAGGCCCATGGGATGAGAGAAGACACAGGCTTTGTCCCCTGGGAGGCCTGTGCCTTCATCGTGAGACATTGCCTGTCTTGGAGAAATAAAGTGAGACATGACCTGTGTATTTGAGGGTTAGGGAAGTCTTACAGGAGGTAAGGGTGTGTGTGGTAAGACCTTGAAAGACAAAAGCATCTCACCAGGCAGAGATGGGAGAGGGAATTGCAGGCCCAAAATGTGAATGTGCAGGGGAAATGGCTGAAGAGCAGAAAGGCCGAGTACCCGAGGTCCAGTTATGCCCTGCTGGAACTTTCAGGGGAAGTGGTGGCATGGCCAGTAGGTACCTCTTTCCAAAAGCTCCTTTCTGTTCCCTGCTGGTCATCCCACACCGCAGCACCGTAGGGACGAGGCTCCTAGACCCTCGGCCGTCCTTTACCACCTCGCCCCCTTCTCTGCAGCAGGAAGAAGAGCAGTGCTTCCCCAACCCGACGGTCCCCTCCTTGCTTGACCTGCCCTCCAGGACCCCCTACACCCAGCCTTTGGATGGAAGCGGGCTGAGATGCAGGCCATGAAGAAGGGAAGGTGGTGAGTGAGCCCTGCCCCATCTTCTCTCCACTGAACTGAGGCAGGGCAGGTGCCTAGCAAGGGGCCCGGCCATGACAGATGCTCTGCAGAGACCAGGACAGGAACTCCGGAGCACAGTTGGGATCCCTTTGCCGCTCACAGACTAGAAGGCATATTTCTGGGATCCACATTCCTGGCCAACAAGGGCCAGAGTCCAGACAGGCCAGCCTGCTCTGGGCTTTTCCAGTCCCCAGGGTCCCAGTGTTCCGGAGTGTAGGGACTCTGCAGAAATCCTCATCCCAGCAGCTGTGCCCTGCCAGGAGAAAGGTGCCCATAGCCAGTCAGCCTTGGCACATGGGCCTAAAGTGACTCTGGGACATCCGGAGAGAACAAGCAAGCTCCGCCTCGGGAGAGGGCGGGACTGGACGAAGGCTCATGGGCTTGGTGACTGGGAATCTGCTGGCGCTCAGGAAGGAAGGAGAGCAGAGGTGGGTGGGGTGCAGCGGAGGGGCCAGACCCAAGTGGGTTGAGAGGCGGGAGGGTGGGAAGCAGAAGCAGGTGAGTGTAGATTTCAAGAAGCCTGCTCAGCCTGTCACGTATTTCTGTGTGACAGGCTGAGTAGACCATCTAGCAGGCCCTGTTGAACCTGAGCGGATCTGCAGGGCCTGGTTATGATCTCTCAGGGGGAAGGAGGCAGCTCAGAATGAAAGGCAAGAGGCATCTGCCGCCCTGTCTGTTCTGAACCCCAAGTCCCAGGGGCAGGAGTGAGCCACGACAGGAGTGAAGGAACGAGAACTCCATGGGAGCTAAAACTTAGTCCAGAACACCACTCTCTCACCTCTGGACTGACCCAGCGTTGTGAAAACCAAGACATCAATGCAGGGGGAGTAGGTAGGTGACGAGAGAGCAGAGTCGTTTGGCCTCTCAGAGCCTGTTTCTTCATCTGGCTGATGGGTGTTTAAAAGGCTGTCTGTAGTGTTTCACTTGCTCAGAGAGATGCCTGATTCTGACCCTGGGATGCAGAGCTTCTCCTAAGCTTCATTTGGGGGCTGATGAGACAAGTGAGCTCAGAATGGCTGAGGTGCTCGCTCCCAGAACAAGAGGACCGAGCACCCCGTTTCCCTGCCCTTCCCCCACTTTTATAGGTGAAGAAATCGGGCCCATAGAGCGGTTTCCGGCCCAGACCACAAGGCTAGGACGTTAATCCCCATCTCTAACTTCCAGTGACCAGCAGGGCAGCTGCTTTAAGATGACCACGTGGGCAGTAGGTGGGTGTAAACTCTCACAGCACTTCACTACAAGCAGCGTACCTGGACCAAAAACCCTGAGTTCAAGGCCGGGCCGTGACCTTGGATGCTCACGTCACGTGGATAGGTCACTTCACCCTCCCAAGTTGTGTGTGTGCCGTGGCTTCGGTGCCCATCTCGGTCTCACACGGGTTGCTGAGCTACTGTTAAGCTCCTGACCCTTCCCCCTGTGTTCTCCCCCCAGTTGTCGCAACACCCCTGTGAGTTAAGTGACGTTATCCCCAGATTTGAAAGTGAAGGTGAAAGGCCGGTGATGACGAGATCTGGGATGTCAATGCTTTGTACAAGGTACCACCACCTCCACCTTCTCTTCCAGGGCCCCAAAGCAAGGAAAACAATGCTCCTCCCTCCACACACCGTTTTCAACTCCTCTTGCTGTTCCCTGTGCTAGTCACGGGCCAGAGGGTGGGAGTGGGGCCCCTGGGGGGAAGCAGCAGCGGGCCGGCCTGGCCAGCTCTTCTTTCCATCGGTGCGCTATGGTTAAGCCCAGGGGACAGTGTGCAGAGCAGTGGCGGCCCTGAGTTACAACACACCCAGTGCCTTCTTCCACTTACCTGGAGGGCAGCGACAGGCCCGGCCTGGCTCCCTCCAAGACCCCGCGCGTGGGCCGCCTTTGTTCTTCCTCCTGGGGTGGGCAGAGACCTTACTGTAGTCTTGGAGTTACTGGGGTAGGTGGACTGCAGGAACCTCACAGGGGGAGCAGTAGGAAGAACTTTGGCTTTGTTTTCAAATTGCTGCTGCCATTTAGAAGTCCTGCTCCCTCGGGCAAGTCCCTTTATCTTTGAGCCTTAGTGTCCCGATGTGTAATATCTGCCAGCTCTGGGGACAGGGGTCATGATTAGGAGGGAGGCAGGTGTGTGAGGGGCACCCGGTGAACGCTGAGCTGAGCTGAGGCAGCGGCACTCACACCACTCGCTGCACCAGGGACCCGGGTCAAAGGTTCAGGTTGAGTAAACATTTGGCACCATTAGCAGAGAGGCAGCGTTTCAAAGACCACAAACAGGAATAGGAATGAGGCCTGGCCCTCTGCATGAAGGGAAGATCATTCCACATGTGCTGAGCTGGAGAGTCAGGGCCAGGAAAGTGGTTCTGCACTTGACCCTTTCATCAGTCAAAGCCAGAGTCAGTCCGTCCTGCACAGAACAGTGCAGCCCATTGCTGTTGATGACAGAAGCTTTTATTTTTATTCATCCAAATGGGGAAAATGCAACATGTCAGGGCATTACAGACAAGCTGCAGCAGCCAGACAAGAGGGTCAGTCTATGGCAGAGTCCAACACAGTCAGTGCGCAGGAGCCGCAGTGTGGGCGCTGCCTGTGGGAGTCGGGGTGCAGAGTCCCTTTGGGTGAAGGCCAGGCGTCTCTGGGCGAGGCACTGGTGACAGTCCACACGTGCAGGCTGCTGCTTCAACCACGCCGCAGGTTGAAAGTTTGGAGTCCTACGTGTGATCACTGCCCCAGAGAGGGAGGACAATCCAGGGTGGTCGCATTCTCCAATTTTTTTTTTTTTAACATAATACACAACATGAAGTTATTGCCAGGGACTCTGCACTGTAATTATACTATGTACACTTGTGTATTCAAAAAAAAACAGTAAATAGATACAGATAGGCATTTTCAATAGATTTCTTAAAAACTACCTTGGCCATCACCAGACCAGAGAGCGAGCAAGCTGTATATAGCCAGGAGTCTGATGTCACGTGTGTAACTGTGCAGGAAACCGGGAAAGGTTTTCTGCCCACAACTACACGCAGCCTTCTCCTTGCCTCCTGAACCCCCCATCCTGGGGCCAAGGAAGGGCTACGACCGAGCAGGACCCCTTCCTCCTTTGTGAGGGAGGCCCCTTCTTGAACAGCTCAGGGCTTCAGGTCTAGACTGGCTGCCTCCTGTCTCCTTCCCAGACAGTGAGTTCTGCTCGGAATGGGTGAGAAGCGAGTCTCAGAGGCCGCTCTCCGGGAATTCTACGCGGCAGGGAGACCCGGGTGCCTGCACTGTGGGGCTTAACAGGCAGAGCCGGGCCCCAGGCCAGCCCCTTCCCTGGCCCTCCTGCCTCACCGGCCCTGGAAGTGCCCTGGCCCTGATTAGGGCTCCCTCAGGAGACCTGCCTTTTCCTGAAGGTGTGACTGGGCCCCAGCCAGCCACTTAGACCAGAAGTTCAGCACAACAGGCCAGATGGTCCCTAGTCAGAGGCCTGAGTTGACAGATACTTTGGGGAAAAGAGGATCCACACTGCTAAGAGCTGAAGTAAATGAAGTCTGCCCAAGGCAGGTGGCTCATGACTCATGAGAAGACATCAAGAGGGACAGAAGAAGAGGAGGTGTCCCACCTTGACCAAGCATTCCCTTTGCCGCCTCAAGCCCCTGGGAAAGGAAGTCTGTGTGGAGGTTGGCGACGGCTCACAAGACACGCAGAGCCACCCTTGATTCCCGGGAGATGCGGAAAGTAAGGCCCCTGGTCAGGAGCCCTGAGGATGCCTGTTGTCTGAGAAGCCACCACAGTAAGTGAACGAGGGGACAAGCGGTACTCAGTGTCCCCTCTGCAAAGTAGGGGTGCAGTGTGAACCCCACCTGACCGCACAGGGCTGGCCTGAGCAGGAGACACCGCCATGGTCAGGGAAAGGGACGCATCAAACACCAGCACTGCCGGCCTGGTAGGTGAGAGAAGAGGTGTTTCAGGAACCTGACTAAACCCCACATCATACCTCGTGTGGGCCATCATCACAACCTGGGCGTCAGGGCCGCAGCCGAGGGAGCCAGTGGGGGGAAGAGTCGAGGAGGCTCACAGAGCGGCACGGACACGTCAAGGAAAGGAAAGGAGCGCCAGCTTAACCACAACTTAAGCCCGTCACGCCGGCGGAAGGGAGCGGGGGAAGAGGCTGGACACTGAAGGTGCAGCTTTCTTGATAAGGAACTACAAGTGGAGAAGACAGTCCTCTTAGCTATCTAAACTCCTATCCTTATCCGTGGTTCATCTTCATCAACAAAAATTTTAAAAAGTCTTCCCAGAACAGCAGAAATATTTAGGTTAGAATCAAAAAAAGAACTTTCAGACCATCATCTGTTTCCCCAAGCAGGAAAATGAGACAGATGGCATCTAGCTTATGGCTGTGGGCCAGGATGGGGCAGGGGCCAGGCTCGAGCTCCACGAGGGTCTAGGGTGCCCCCAGACACAAGCCTCCCTGTGAGGCCAGAGCCGCAGCGCAGGCTGAGCTGCCCGATGAAAGACCACAGCTGGAGGCACATCCGGCTGGGCCAGGCTTGCCTCTGTGTTTGCCGTTCCAGGACCCCAGAAACACCTCTGGAAGAGCCAGGCCGTGCCCCTTAGAGATGGGAAGTTACGTGCCCGCTGCCATGCTGAGAGCACCGCCCCCTGGAGCCTGAGGAGCCCCACGGCAGCAGCCCGCGTGCCCTGGAGCCGTGGCTTCTCCGCGACTCTTCCTTCCACAGCCCTCACCCGACCTCGGCAATGACAAGCTGTGCCCTCACTCAGAGCAGGCAGCAGCAGTGCCCTCAGGCAGCCCACCACCCACCTGCCTGAGGCTCTGCCCATGTCTGCCCAACGGCTCAGGGCAGCACCAAAGCCCTCACCTGCTGGCTCAGTCCCCAGAGGATCCACAGCCACACGAAACCGGTCCAAGGTGGCGCTGCCGGAGCCGTGCGGGGAGGGCCCCCCTGGGGTCAGCACCGCCACACACCCTGGCCTCGGGGCCTCGGGCAAGTGCCTTCCCTCCTCTGGGCCGCGCGTGCTCCTCACCCACTCCTACGGGCCCGTGCAGGTTTCAAGGAAACAGCATCTGCGCAGGCCTCTTCGTGGGCTCGTGAAGCCAGCACCCCTCCAGACTTCTGTCCATGTCAAGGGAGAACGCTGGCAGTTCGCGCCCCTGGAACCTCACCTCACGGTGCTCAGTCAACAGAAGTTCCCTTCACCTGCCTAGAAACATCTCTGAGGGGAAATACTGTGGAGCGTAGAAAGCACTATATAGAGTGTTTTCCTTGCCCCAACTACACGGAGCACCTTGGGGCCGGCACCGTGTCCGATCTGCAGTCTCCCCCAGCCCGACGTCAGTCCTGGCCTAGAGCGTCGGGATGCACCTGAGCAGCACCTGCTCCGGCCTGTGCATCTTGCCCCGGTTTACAGGCACCAGCTCCATTCTGAAGTGAGGGGAAGCCCATCCCTAGCATTTTTCACCCTCATACACCAAGGCCCCAATCCAAAATTAGACACGAGACAGAAGAAGCCGAAGGCAGCAGACCATGTCAAGCTCTGCCATGTCAAAAACTATGCCACTCACTGGCCCCCTACAGCCGGCGGCCAGAAAAGCTACCCAACTCGGGGGTCGCTCCTTCCCACTCAGGTACCAACAGTAACCAGACTCTGGGTGAAAGAGTCCAGACTAAACTGAAAGATACTACTTGTAACCACAAACGTGGTCTTCCCCAACCAGAGGATCTTTCCAAAGTGCATCTGTGATCACTTCACCTTCCTGAGCACAACCTCCCACTGGCTCCCCAGCGCCCTTTATTCACAGGCTGGGCCCCAGCCGTCCTTCTCTCCGGAGCCGCCTCCCTCCCTCCCTCCCTCCCTCCCTCCTCAGGCTCTCCGGGTTCACCCTCAGCCTTCTCTCCCTGAGCCCCGTTCTGTATTTCGCTTTGCAGCAACCGCTCCCCCCAAAGGGCCCACCTCTCACTCAAAATCTGAGGTCCTTCTGAACAAGAGCTGCACACCTAACAGATGCGCAGGAAGCCTTCGTGGGAAGATAGATGGGTCCAGGCAGCAGACGGGAGGAAGCTTCCAGTCATGATTAAGCCAGAGGGTGAGTAACCGCCACAGTCCAAGGCAGGGATTGGCGAAGTGTGGCCTGCAGCCACGCCTGTCTGTCTACATTCTGTCTCTGGCTGCGTGGGTGCTGCTGGAACAGCAGAGCTCAGTAGCTGTGACAGAGCGAATGGGCCACAAGCCTGAAAGAGTTACTCCCTGGACCTTTCCAGAAAGTTTGTCGACAGCAGGCTTAAGGCAGCGTTCCCATCGATTTTCACACTGTGACACGCAAAAAGGTGATTTTTCTGTGGCCCACTGGGCTAAACAAACAAGGCCACTCGTAGTTACAGACACCTGGTCACCCCAAAGGCCGATGCAATCAGTGTCTCAGTGAACCCTAACCTTTCAGAGCTCTGACCTAAAGGCTCAAAACCACCACCGCCTTTTTAGCCCCCGTCCCCAACAAAGGTATAGAAACACAGAAGTGCAGAAACCTACCCCGACTCCTCCTCGGGTCTCCCTGTCCACCTGTGCAGAACGAGCCAGAGGTGGCAGGACAGACACAAAACTGAGGCCCAAAGCAAATTCTCTAGTAATCTTACAATTGCGCCTTTTTCCCTTCCCCGTAGCACTCTGTGGAGCAAGTGTGTACCTTCCCCCCGGCTAAAGACCCTGCTCTACAAATGCTGAATCCAGTGAACTCCAGCCCTTGCCCAGGTAAAGAAGCCAAAACATTACTTTTTTTAAAAGCAGAAGCCTCTGTACCAACGAACATCCAGTACCTGCCACTCCCTTTGACTGGCAAACTCAGCAGAGCAGAAACGCAGGACAAGGGTAAGATTCTGACTGACCGGCCCATAAACCTCTCTGCCCTTTGCCAAAGGAGACGCTTCCCAGAGAGCACACGAAGGGGGCTCAGAGCCCCCGCACCCACGAGAAAGTCAGGCCCACCGAATCCCCGCTTCCTGGCCAATGGAGATGGCCCTTGCTACACTGCAACGCCTCTCCCCGCCACCACCCCCCTTTCCTGTCTTGGTCCCGGGCACGTACTGAACAGCGGCCCCCAGTTCCCTGGCTGCACGTGGGGTTCCTGTGGTTCCCTGGCCCCATAACCTCCTGCTGGGCCCAGGCAAGGAGCATGGACTATGAAGAGATGCCATTCCTGCCTCTGACGCCCTCAGCCAGCCTCCATCCTTCATCCGGGCATCTGCAGCTGCCTCTGACTCCTTCCTTTGGTCCTTCCCCATCCACCTGTCCAAACCGATCTTCCAGAATTCTCTCACCGTTCTGGAAGATGGTAAGCACTGCAGGGCACAGCACCCGAGGCCTTTCATGGACGGAGTGGCCCCGCACTACACACGCCATCTGCTACCTCACCCTCCCAACCATCCCAGTTCCCAGCTTCCCATTAACAAGCACCTCCACTGTCCTGAGAAGCTGTGCCCTTCTGCGCACACCAGGCGCCCCTCCTTGAGACCTCCCAGCCAGCTGGATGCCAGGCTCTGCGGAAGCCATGGCCACATCTGCTGGAGCCCCTCTCACTCTCTAAGTCACGCAGCTCTTAAGTCTCTTCACAGGCCTGGCTCTGCTCCTGGACTGAGTGGGAGCCCTTCTCCCAAGCACAGAAGATGGCTCTTGTTCTGTTCAAGGCCCCGAGCAGTCCCCTCCCCCTTCCTGGGCTCCTTCTTGGTCAGGGGTTTCACCTTCTAAGCTGAAAATCCTGACGTTTTCCTCAAGTGCTCCTCCCCCAGCTCAGCCTGGTTAGTAGTAGGAGGTGACAGTGAATGTTTCCAATAAATCCATGTGCCCAAGAGGGGAGAAGTGGTCTTGACAGTGTCACCAACCACATCAGCATTCTGTGCAAACTGACACCCCATAGAAGACCATCCTCTGCAGTATGCAAACAGCCGGCTTCCTGCCTAAGCACTCCTGGTAACATGGGGCCCACTTCTCACCACACCTCATGGGACGCACACTTTAGCTCAAACTGCCCAACTGGCTCTACCGTAACTATCTTTCCCCTTCTGGAACCACATACGACAAGTAAATACAACCCTTTAAAACAGCTGATGGAGGGCTTCCCAGGTGGCGCAGTGGTTGAGAGTCCGCCTGCCGATGCAGGGGACACGGGTTCGTGCCCCGGTCCGGGAAGATCTCACATGCTGCGGAGCGGCTGGGCCCGTGAGCCATGGCTGCTGAGCCTGCGCGTCCGGAGCCTGTGCTCCGCAACGGGAGAGGCCACAGCAGTCAGAGGCCTGCGTACCACAAAAAAAAAAAAAGAACAAAAAAACCCCCAAAAGAACAGCTGATGGAAAGGTCCATGATCTCTCCAGGTCCGTCCTTCAGCAGGCTTAACCTATCCCATCTTGACGTGCTTTCAGCTTTCCTGAGTTCCTCAGGTGCCACCTTCCAGATGATGTGGAAGGAGTGATCCCTTCCAGGATGATGGCCGCCATACCTCCCATAATGCAGCCTCCAACCTTGCCTGAAGGACGTCAGAGAGCTGAGCATCTTCTGAGACCGTCTACATCGTGGAAGGGCCCAGTGAGACGCTGGCACCAGCGCTCTGGGAAGGCAGCTGTGAGGGTGACCCCTTTAGTTGGAGCACACAAGGAAGGCCTAGCCAGAAACAGCTGACAACCAAAACGTGGATGAAGCTCAGTGGAAAAGCACACTCCTAACAGCACATCCCTTCCCTCCATACAACGCCTGGGGATCTCTCCGATGGCAATTACTGGCTTGCATTTTATTACAGGGTCCAGTTACAGCACAAAAAGATGGTCTGTGGAAACAGACCCAGCTGTGCAGCTGGCAAAGAAAACAACAACAAACAGGCCAC